TATTAATATATATTTTAAATATAGAAATATAAGATAATATTAACTATTTCTTTTAATTTATTAGCTATATAAATAGTCTAATATCTTCTTTATCTCTTAACTATTATTTATTAAAACTATTTCGCTATCTTATTTAAACTCTTTAAAATTAATTTATCTATTTAATAAACTTATCTAGAAATATAATAACTTAATTTAATTTCTTACTAAAGTCTTTATTAATATATTACTTTAAATTTATTTACTAATATAAATAAAATAAGTAAGTTAATTATAATTATAATATTAATATTAATATAAATATAATATTAATATAAATATATTAAATAAGATAATTTAAATATCGAATTATATAGATAAAAGAAAGATATTAAATAGTAATAAATAACTTTATTAAGATATATTAAACTCGAATAAATTAGAGAGTTAAGTAATATATTAAGAATATAAAATATACTCGTAATAGCTATTATTAATAGTAAATTAAATTTAATCTCTTAATCTATCTATACTTAGTTTATAACTTTTATATATACTTTTTACTCTTAATAGTTTAATTAAAAATAAGATTTATTTATATATAATATCGACTATAACTCTCTAATAAAGATTTCTATATCTTTAAAAGTCTACTCTATATCTATTTAATAGCTATTATATATTAATTAGATCTTAACTTATTAATTATAATAGATATAAATTTATAATTCGATATATTAGAGAAGTTAAGAGATTTTAAGAAAATATATATTTATATATAAGTATATAATCGAATTCTTCGATTATAATAAATAATTAATTATATATAAATAAAAATTAAATAATAAAACGCGTTAAATCGAGAGTTAACGCGTTCTTTTTAAAGAATTCAATATTATTAATATAATAGCGAGTTTTATCTCTCTTAATCGAATAATATCTCTCTATCTTATTAATTAATAACTTTTTTCTAAATATTATAAATATCTAACTTCGATTATAGATAAGTTAACTCGTTTATAAGAATTATATAAAGATTTTTTTTTTTTAAAAAAGAGATTAGATAAGAGAATTAAATTTAATATATTTAAAAAATATCTTTTTAATAGCGAAGTTAGCGAGTAATAAGTAATAGTTATATATCTCTTAATTAATTATCGACGTATAAATAAATCTTAATTAAATCTTATATCTCTATAGAAATTAAAGCGAGCTCTTAACTTCGATTTAATAAATATTATTATTCTCTCTTTTATATAATAATATATAATAAGATATTAGATATTTAAATATATATAAAATAAGTAAAGGCCTATAAATTAAATTTATAAAGTTAAATTTTTCTAAGTTAAATCAATTTTTATTTAATTCTAAGTTAAATCGAACTCTAATCGCTTACTATACGTTTTTAATCTATATATAAATATATATATATAAAGAGAGACGCGCTAAGATTTAATTAGAAAGATATATCGAGTATAAAGAATTAATCTATAATAATTAGTTATAAAAAATAAGAAAAATATTATATTCTTATAGTAAGAAGTATCGAAATATTCGAAATTAGAAATTAATAAAGATAACATATTAATTAGTAATATAAATCTTATAATATCTTCTATCGTAGTAAAATCTTTCGAATAATAAAATAGCTATTGGTAAGATATCGAATAATTTTAATTCATTTAAATATATATTATTCGATATTTCTTCTATAGAGACTTAATTAACTATAATCGTCGTAGTAGATTCTTCTCTTATAACGTTATTATAGTAATATATTATATTAATATAATAGAGATAATATACTAAGTTATAGTAGTATTCTTCGCTTATTAAGTAATAATTTAATATAAAATCGTAAAGAGTATATAACGTAAAATCTTAAAGAGCTAAGTTATATTCTTAATAATAGTAGTCTTATTATCGCTTAATTTCTTCGTAATATTCTTTAGTATTTTCTAGTTTCTCTATATTTTTATTATATCTTCTCTTATTACTAGCTAAGTAAATTAATATAAGATTATAAAGTATATTTATTATATTACTAATATATAGTATACTATCTTAAAGCTATTTTCTTAATAGTATTCTTTATTCTTCGTAATATTCTTTATATTTATCTATTATAGTTTCTTCTCTTATTTCTTAATAAATAGTAGAGATAATAGATTAAGTTATAGTAATATTCTTGCTTATTAAGTAATAATTTAATATGAAATTATAGAGAGTATATAACGTAGGATCTTAAAGAGCTAAGCCGTGTTTTTAATATTAAGAGTCTTATTATCGCTTAATTTCTTCGTAGTATTCTTCGTATTCGTCTACTATATTAACTTCTCTTATACTAGCTAAATAAATTAATATAAGATTATAGAGAGTAGATTTATTATATTACTACTACTAATAACTATCTTCGTAATATTCTTTATAGTATTCTTCGTATTCGTCTATTATAGATTCTTCTCTTATTTAATTAAGTACGAGGGTATCGAGAGTAAATATATTTATATTAATGAAATTAATAGAATTAATAAAATTAATAGAATTAATAGAATAATTATATAAATAGATAAAAGAATTATTATTCGATCTCGAACGCGTTTAATATAACTATTATATTTAAATATTAATTTTATCTATTAATAGTAGATTAAACTTTATAATTTTTATATCGTTAGAAAGCGTAAACTAAGCTCTATAATTTACGAAATTATAAAGTAATAGTATTCTTAGAGAGCTAATTATTTTAGAGTGTAAGACTTCTATATATAGATTTTTATAAATTTTTAATAATTACGAACGCTAATTTATTTACTCGCGATATCTAATTAAAAAGCGTAGATCTAACGAATTTATAATTAACTATATATATAAATTTAAGATTTTCTAGTTTAGCTCTATCTTATTCTTTATATATATTAATAGAGAGATTAAAGCTTAACTTTAAAAATATTAAGAAAAAGACTTTAAGAGTATATTATAGAGTATAATAATATCTAATTATAATAAGAGCTTTAAAAAAATTTAATATAATATATATTAATATATATAAAAGAATAAGATAGAGTTAAATTTAAAAATCTTAAATTTATATATATAGTTAATTATTAATTTAAGTTCTCTATACTTTTTAATTAGATTAACTAAGTTATTATAAATAAATAAATTAATATTCGTAACTATTAAAATCTTATTCTTTCGCGTCTTTCTTATTAAAAAAATAGATATATATTATTAATATATAGAATAACTTTTTTATTTTCTATTAAAATTTTAAATTTTTTTTTAAAAATTTTAAAACGCTATTTATACTTTCCGAATTTTTAAGAATTTTAAAATTTAATCTTATAATTATTAAAGCGTAAGAAATTCAAATATCGCTTATTAAAGTTCGCTTATTAAAGATCGCTTATCTACTTACTTAATAGTTCTAATTAAAAAAAAAATTATAAAAAATAATTTATAGATCTTTACTCGTAATCTATCGTATTTTAAATAAAGTATAAATATTAAATATAGCTATAAAATCGAGTAGATAAAAACGATTATACTTTAAGCTATATCTTTTAATAAGAAGGAATATAAATAGAGATACGACTCTTCGATATAGGAATTATATATATATATATATATATTTCTTCGTTATAATCTATATATATATAAATATAAAATAGATATCTAGTTATATTTATAAGTAAGTTATTTAAGTAAACTACTATAGTAGATTTAATAAATTATCGAATTATACTCTAAGTAATTAATTCTTATTAAATTATATTTTAAATTTTAATATAGAAGTATAATCTAGTAATTAGAAGTATGATTCGATAAGGATTTATAGTTTCGAGGTATGATTGGATAATTAGCCGTAGTAAGTACCCTCTAGTCCAACTAGATTCTCGAGGAACATGGAGAAGGAAGCTTTCTACGTTAGGTCTACGTATCATAACCTCGTAAAACAAAGCATCAAGATTCATAAGCTCGCGTGAAGTCCGCTGCGCCCACAGAAAGAAGTCTTGGCGCTCGGATCGGTTGGCTAGCCCGATTGAGAAACTTGGAAAGGCCTGCACAAACAAATCAAAAGCCTCATCTCGCAGGGGACGTTGAAACAACAAAGGTTCCGCGCATACAGTTCAAGCTCGGCACATGGTCTCGGCCAGATAAAGCCTTTCCGTCGGGCGACGGTGCGGCTGGAAATGTCAAAATACCAACCCAGTCAACCCCAGCATAGCCATTATCGTAAAATTAGCTATTATACTGACTACCAACCTGACTGGCAGCGTGCTTATCATTGAACCTTTAATTAATTCTTGTCCATGTGCGCTCGGGTGGCTAGCTTCGAGCAACAGGCAAGGTCGAGCCGCAGTCCTGGATTAGGTACCGCACTGCAATTTCAGACCAACAATCTTCATCTCCAAGTTCGATTGGCTAAACAGATTTGGAGACTGCTAAAACGTTAGAAGTGAATTGTTTCCAAACTCGAGGGATGTCACACTTGGTGGCGCGATGGATAAATTTGATTGTCAAAAGGGGGGGAGGGGATGTATAAGAAGCCGCTTCGGTCTCTGACCATTCCATCTGCGCACCATCCTTCTCCAACCATTCTAGCTGTACTCCTCCTTTTTCTCCCCACCTTGCATTATCGGCCGACAATCATGTCACCATACCCTCTCGCCACAGCTCTGCTCTTGCCACGAGGGATCTTCAAACACGACAACAGCAACAGTAGCAGTAACAGTAACCAACACGGATCCAACCACCATGGACTCAATCACACATGCCCAGTGCCGGATGAACAAGGACCGCGTAAGGACACTTCGACCGCCTAATCCCTACCACTCATCGCTGACCGGTGTGCCTTCTTCACCCAGTCATCGTGCCTCTGGTTGGCAGCATGACCTTCCATAGCGTCGGGCTCATCATCGCCGGAGCATTGATGGGGTTTGCGTGCATTTTGTCATTTGGCCTGATGATAGCCCACGCGACGCATTTCTCGATGCCGCTGGAGCAGAAACAGTATGGGTCCACCCATCGATGCAATGGCACGCCCACCTCAGAAGATTTTGTGCTCGCTAACCAACCACCTCTTCTGCAGGATCATACGCATAACCTTCACGATCCCCGTCTTCGCCATACTCGCCTTCCTCGGTATCCTCCTCGAGTCGCGGGCCGTGTACTTGATACCGCTGACGGAGGTGTACGAGTCGTTCGCGCTCGGTGGGTTCTTCTTCCTGCTGTGTGCGTGGATCCATCCCAATGGTTCGGAGAGAGAGAGGATCTTGAACCGGGAGGGGAAGTTGGGGATGTACAATGTGGGCTGGCCAGGGTAGCATATCCCTTGTGGGTATGGACACTGACATGAGAGCTGACAGAGAGTGTGGTTCTTTGTGTTTCAGCAACCATTTGTCATGATCGTTCTCGTTGTGGTGCAAGAGATCACGCAGGCCGCAGGGGTGTTTTGCGCGACGAGTAAGAACATACAGTTCGCTCATGTCTGGGTAGGTGGATGTTTCCTTGTCTGGTGCTCGTGGTTGCAGCCTAGAAGGCGGACGTCAGGGCTCTGACGGGTAGACAGATATCAAGCTTTTCATCCGTCACGACAACCTTCGCAATAGGAGCGGTGCTACGATTCCATGGCGCTACGAAGCAGATGACCGCACAACAGAAACCCTTGCTGAAGCTCGTGTCATTCAAGGGAATAGTGTTCCTGTCTTGGATCCAGTCGGTACGTACATCCCTGACAGATTTCCCGTACTCGTAAGCCAACCCTCTCCCAGGCCCTCTTCTCCTTCCTGACCTCCAGCGGCCACCTGCACCCAAACAACCACCTTACCTTCCTAGACCTATCCGTCGGCATACCCGCCATGATTACATGTCTCGAAATGGCGCTCTTCTCCATGCTCTTCCTGTTCGCGTATCCGATTAGTCCCTACACCGCAAAGGGCCGCATCACCGGCCTGCTCCACGGGAGCGGTCCCACAAGCCATCCAGGATACGTGGGCGGTCCTCTAGGACTCAGTGCTTTGTTTGAAGCACTTAATATATTTGATTTGATTAAGGCTATGATGGTGGCGCCGATGAGGCTAGGCAAGGGAAGGGCGATGATGATGAAGGAGCAAGCGAGTGCGGCGGATGAGGGTCCCAAGAATAAGGCTTATGGGGGCTGATATTACGACGGATGCGACCTCAAACCCAGGATGGAGCTCGGTCGCTGGAATTCGGATTTTGTGGAAGCAAAGAGTCGTGTTCTGTTGATTGGGACTCAGGTCGAGATTGCGTGAGGCCCCTGAGCTTTGGCCTTCTGTTCAGCGTACTCATGAGTAGATTGAGATTTTCATTACTACGCTAGCAATACAAAAATTTCATACAAATTAGAAGGGTTGCTCATACCGAATGCTATGACAGGCTTGTCGCTTCGTAAATTCCAAGCACGTTCCGAATATAGCCCAACCGTTTCATCATCCAATTTCTCTGTAAGAGGGTACCAAGGCCCTTACATACGATTAAGCGTAGAGGCCAGAGGAGTAGAAAGCCTCCGATGGCCTTCTTTTGTTGAGGTTGCCGCAAATTGCCTTCCTGATCAACCTCGCCGAGAAGATAAGAGACACTAGCACAGATATCATCGATTAGGTCTTCAATTCCTTGGGAGATTTGATCCACGGCGCAAGGGTTGTCGATCTCGAGTGGAGCTGGCTCCCAGGCAGTATACTCTCTTTGCCGCGAAGAACACTTTTGAAGACATTCTAGCAAAAGAATGCGCATGCAGCGGTATTGGTTCCACATGGCCGCCATGGTGGGACTGGTGTAGAGATGAATTGAGGGTGGTGCCTGCAAGTCAAAGGCAGTTTTGGGAGGCGCAGAACATGGAGCTTCCATCTTCGCGAACAAGTAATATCCCGAGGCTTGTCCGCTCCACGTCGTCAATTTCATATCGAGTATGAAAATAGCATTGATGATTTTATGCAACGCAGTCACTTGCACATAATCAAGTGCAGCTTGCCGCAGCAAGTCGTCCGCATCGGCGAGCAAGTGACACGTTTCGCAGGCGAGGCCCCCGAATTGCCTTGAATAAGGATCTCGACGAGGGTCTCTTCCCATGAACTCGGCTTCCTTGCTTGGTCGTATCTTCCGCGTAAGATTCCTTATTGTCTAGAAGGCTGTGAGTCAGCAGAGATATCGTCCCACTGTGGTGCAATCACATACCAAAGTATTATGCGCGTTGAACGATAAATACGTGGAGCTAGAGGATTCGACTTGCTCGGGACGTCGCATGCGCAGAAGACTTTCCAACACATCAACGTGGGAGGACCATAATGCGCAGGGGGATGCAAGCTTTTCTCCGCTGACTAACTACACTTGGGGTCAGACGGCTGGAAAGCTATACAGGCGCCCCAGAGAGCCAAAGTTACCTCATAATATCCCAGGCAGAGAATTGTTGCAAGAACGGGGTCCTCCTTAAGGTTCTCCTGCTTACGCAGAGCCTCGGCAATCAGTGACAGCGCTCTGCCATAGCGCTGTCTCGCCTGCGGTACTAGATATTCCAAGCTCGACCGATGAGCAAAACTTATCAGTGCAACTGCTGAAACAGCTTCTTCAAAGGCAGAAGTGCCATGTTCTTTGCTCAGTAGGTCGGGCAGACCATGAAGGAAGCCAAAGCAAACTTTATCGTCGCTTGGTTTGATCACATAATCGTGGAAAAACATGCAGACTGACTGAGCGTGCCAGTCTGCAGGCATTGGCGCACCAATAGATGAAGTGCGACGCGAACTGATAGTAGTGGGGAGAGGCTGTTGTCTCCGATGCTCTTCCACGTCGACGCTGAGGGTATTTCGAAATATGAGGTCAGTCGCGGTTGGATAGCCTGAGCATAGTCTGCCGTTTCTTCGACATCGACAACATTCTGGAAGGCCTTGATCACACTTGTAGATGAAATCTCGATTAGCCTCAAGTTTGAGCAGCGTATCAATGCCGGAGGTGTACCTTTACCTTGCGATCTTTGCAAGGCTGACAGCCGCGACTTGGTTTGCCGACGTTGGGCATGATGAGGCAGGTACGTGGGAATAATTGGTGAAAGGTGCTACAACTGGCTTTAGTATGTGCGGATGGTAAAGGGTGTAGGTATGGTCAATCGAAGCAATGGGGACCAATGGGATGGGGGTTTATATGGGTGGTGAGGGTATGAAAATATTGTACCTGATCTACACGTGGCGGTGTTCCTTGCTGCCCCAGCCACAAGATAGCCACTGCCAAGACTCAGCCGCAATGCACCTAAATCAGAAGATCATCTAGGTCTTGGCACCATCTCGAAAGTCAATTCGTCCATTTCGAATCAATTCATGCACTTCAGAAGACGGACTTTTCAATTGTCACGTCTCGATTCTTGTCAATCTCTCCCCCTCTCCCTCACTTCCTCTACAAGTATCGGCAGCTAAAACATCGACTGATTCCGAACTCAATATTCTAAAGCCAATCGCCTGCTCCTCGAGGCTCCTCATGGATATCCACTACTCATAGTGCGCCCAGCTTCTATGACTGCCTTGCAGAAGTTTGATTAGAGGAAGCATCAAAGCCAGCTCCGCCCACAGCAGTTCCAGCAGAAGGTCTGCTCGAGAGTCTTCGTTCA